ATTAAAAACTTGTGCAGCCAAATGAAATTGGGTTGTTCTATGAGTAATCCCCTAGATAAATCTGCAACCCCAGCTCAGTGTTTTGGGGGTTCCTTTTGATTGAACCCAGGGTCACTTAACCACTGAGCCATATCCCCAGCTCTTTTTATTTTTTAAATGTTTGAGACATGGTCTTGCTGAGTTTCTAAGGGCTTCCCAAATTGCTGAGACTGGCCTTGAATTTTGATCCTCTTGCCTCAGTCTTCTGAGCTGCTGGGATTATAGGCATGTGCCACCACTCCCAGAAAATTGGGTGTGAGAGTTAAGAGTTGCTCTTTGGATTCTTTTTCACTCCCTAAATGCTTCTCCTTTAAAAAAGAAATTTTTATAAGATCTCACAGACGTATTATAAGATATGATAGAAATGACACTTATTTAGGGGAAGTATAGCCAAACTCACCAGTTAGTAGTGAATAAAACAACATCCTTGAAAGCTCTCTGAAAAAATATAAACTTTTCAAAGTTTATAGTATAAAAAACTTACATTGTTCTTCATATTTGGCATATTTTTTTGTGCAAAATTCTTGTGTTGAAATTTGTTTTTTTTAAGGAATTACATAATATGAATTAGTAATAATATAACTAAAAAATGAGAGTGGATGGAGGATCATTTATAATCAGCATCAGGAGCACATACTAATCTAAAAAACACTTGATTCCGAGTTTAACTAGAATAGCCTAAAATAAACTTGCATTCCTAGTTGGATTATTACATTTTCATTTAAATATGTTTAATGTTCTTTCTGTTTTCTTTAGGGATAAGTAGTGAAAAAAAATCATTCAGTTCCTGGAACATTATCCAAATTTGTATCTGGCTTAACACATCCGACCTTGCTGTCTTCAGAGGAAGTGAACACATGTTCTATGAGTAATCCCCTAGATAAATCTGCAGCCCAGCAAAGGAGCAATAAGATCAAATTCCAGTGGTTTTTTTTTTTTTTTTTTTGCACTGAAATGACATTAAATTCAAAAATTACATTAACAGGCTTCCGCCCTTTATGGTTGATAGCAGTCTGGTAGAGACTATCCAGGGGAGGAGATGTGGGAAGTTGACAGTGGTGGTGATGATGATAGTTGGTGAGAGTATACGGAATGGACCCATGATAGCCACTTTGAAAGTTTTTTCCCATTGTCGTCTGCTTTTTTTGTCAGTTCTGCCCCTTGAACATGAATAATAGTAGGTGGTTGTAGCCTTCTCTATATGTTGATGCCAATCAAAAATTTAGGAAAAAATACTCCTGATCCTTTTGGTACCTTTCCTCTTTAATGTTAATAGGAATAGGGTTGGAGGCGCAGCTCAGTGGTAGAGCACTTGCTTAGCATGGTTGAGGTCTGGGTTTGAACCCCAGCACTGCAAAAAAAAGCAAATGAAAAACCCTAGGGGAGAAACTCAGTTGAGATCTGAAGACTAATTAAAAATACTTTTTTTCCCCCCGTATAGCGTAAAGAAAAATGAAGCATTCCACTTATTTTAAAAATGGGGAAGTGAGAACATAAAATTCTTTAGCTGAACTCCTGACCTTTGGGGAGAGGATTGTTCCTTGGGTTGTGCCCTTAGTGAACTAGATTACCCTTTGGGCCAAATCTTCAGTGTGTGGTTTTCTAGCCTTGACTCTAATTTAGCCCTTCTCAGCCTCAGCACCATTCATTCACATTTAGGGCTAATCATTCTTTGTTCTAGGAACTGTCCTGTTCATTGTAAGATATTTTAGCAGCATTCCTAGCCTCCACTATATGGCAGTAACAGCCCTCCTACTCCATTTGTCACAACTAAAAACGTCTCCAGATACTGTGAAGGGGGAGGGAACAGCTCTATGGGATCCCCTGCCTCTGCTTTGAGAATCATTGCTTTTGGTGGGCATTTGTTGATAAAGAATATTTTCCAAGTTTTAGTTTTATTTTTAAGCGTTTTGTCTTGTTGCAAGTATTTTGGTATAACAGACTTTAGTTTTAAGAACTGTAAAAATAACCTAGGAACACATTGCTACTTTGGAAGTGAAAGTGAGGACAGGGTCTTTCCTTGATTTGAGAATTAAACATTATGACCTTTGAGTGCTTGAGGACAGTGTTTTCAGACTGCAGGTGGGGACCCATTTGTGTGTTATGAAATCATTTTGTGGGTCGGGACTATGTATGTTAAAGTGCATAGGGCCATAGCATAAAATGTTATTTCTTACTTTGGAATAACAAAAACATATGAAGCTAATGGCTTAGTGCATACGCCCAGCCTTCTCTTTCAAATAGGAATATTCTAAACATATGAGCCTATAGTAGTATGTGTCAATTAAGCCATTTTCTAGTCAGATTAAACTTATCAAATATTCCTTGAAATATGAAACATTCAGATCTATTCATTCATCTATTCATTGAAACATTCATCTATTCATTGTAGTGGATTAGAGACTCGTCTTTGGTTTCTGGTGCATATTGTTATTCTTACAAGATGAGGAAGCACTGAACTCCATCACATATTTTAGAACATTCTTGGCACATTACTTGTGGACTGTTCATGCCCTCTCTTCCCCTAAACAAGATTCTGCAAAAAGACAGCTCCATTTTAATTGTCCTATTCATCAGCATGCATACAAAAGTTCTGTTTACATCAGCTGGTATTTATTTTTAACATTTGTAGAAATTGGTTTTATGATAGAAAGGGCAAGAAATGTTGTTTTGAAAATCAAATATAAACAGGAGCATAAAGCCATCTAAAAATTACTTCTAACATTCTGCTTGTACTTTTTTTTTTTTTTTTTTTTTGCAAAAGCTTATTTTTGAATAAACATAGATTGAAATTAGGGAACACATTAAATGAGGTGATTTGTCATTATAATGTGATAGTTCCAGCTGTTCAGAGGTGATTCTTGACTTTGTGAGATTTATCAACACATTCAGTTGCTGAAAAAGCTGCCTTAGCTTCTGTTTATGAGGAAAAAACACCTATTTTGAGTGATTTTATTTATTGTATGGTTTTTTTTTTGAAGATTGGAACACTTTCAGGAAGCATATTTTCATTTGCTGAGTAGTAAAAAAAAACATTTTAAACTAGTTTTATCTTCTTGAAAGTTCTGTTAGGATCATTGTTTTTTCTCTTTAAGGAAAAATGTTAATGATTGTTCAAAAGATTTTTTGTATTTCAATTTATTTTCACAGTGGAGGCTTTTATCTTATGTTTTTAATATAGTTGATATTCAGCAGAGATAGTGTTTTCATGATAGTTTTAGGAGAAATTTGTGGGGTTTTATTTTTTTCATTGTCTAAACATCCTAACTTTTATGTTTGTGAAAGATCAGTGGGTATGGTGCACAATAAACCACATTTATTTCATTCTGCCCTTGTATATATTTATATTATTGATTTACTGTGCCTAGTTCTTATGTGTGAAATGAAAGCAAGTGTAGAAGGTAGCTGAGGTTTTATATAAGAGATACTTGAAAACAGATATCTAGTATTAGTCTTTAAAAGTACACTAAGGAGCAATAAAAATATGAATTCGGAAATATAATTTCTTTACAAGCAGAGGATATGAGTTTTTAAGTATTGTCATAAGAATTTAGGTGCAGAAGCTGGATGTGGTAGTATACACCTGTAATCCCAGCATCACTGGTGGCTGAGGTATGAGCATCGCAAGTTTGGGACCAGCCTTAGCAATTTAGCAACACCCTGTCTCAAAATAAGTAAGGAGGACTTTGGATGTAACTCAGTGTTATAATAAACTTAATCATAAAGTGCTCCTGGGTTTGATCCCTAATACTAAAGTAGGGAGGGGTGCAGAATTTAGGTGTGTATTTGTCAGCACTATACTGTTCTTAAAAACAATAAATCAAGATAATAGAAAATTTTGGTACAGCCATTTTAGTCCATAGTTAAGACCCCAGCAGTGTTATTTTATTCTTCTTTTTTTTTTTTTTTAAACGGGATTTGAATTCAGGGCTTTGCTAATGCAAGGCAGACACTTTGCCACTGAGCTATATCCCAGCCCCAGTGTTACTTTTAATCTACTTTTTGTGTAATTCCAAAAGGTGATTTTAAATAACTCTAAAATTTTAAAGAAGAAAATGCTATTATTTTAAAAGGATACATTCGTTATCCTACTATAAATTCATTTGAATGTGATTGTTAATGTTAAACAGTGCACTTGGAGTTGTGGCTGAAACTTCTAAGTGAACATTTAATTAATGTCTCCTTCTGGATTCTGAGTAAAAAAAAATAATAAACTTTATCATAAAGTGGAGAATGCAAATATTTCATCCTTACAAATAGTATGCTATGTTGCCTAAGTTTTTTACATCCAGTTTCTAAAGAAATTTCTGGAGCAAATAATACCTCTACCAAAGTATAAAAATCACTTTTCCTAGTTTCCAAAAAAAATCATTTAACTTCCTTCTCATTTGATAAATAAAAAAGATTTTGGGGGAGGGGCTACCAAACAGTCAAATTTCAATATAATATAAATTAAACTTCATTAAATATTGCTTTAATGCCTTCAGAAAGGGATGGCTTGCAGTCTGTAATATAATCAATAATCTACATAATCTTTATATATTAATTTTTTTAGAAATGATTTTGGCAACTTGAGATGTTTATGATTGAAGCTGATTAAATATTTTGATTTTTACATTTACTTTGAACAAGTTCTATGAATCAATATTCTTTTGAAGTTTGAATTTATTATCGTGTTTGTATATTTAACTATTGCTATGTTGTGTTTACTTTTTATTTTGCTCAGATTAAAGAATTCTTTGAATTTATAAATTGTATTGATAATCATTAATTATTTTGACCAAATTTGACCTCTCTTGGCTCCTATGAGTGGATATGCTAGGTAGTATGTCATCTGTTGTATCTTCTGTTAAAGTATTGGTAGTATAATATATCTAACGTCATACATAGTTGTAAATCTTCACATGACTGAAGACATGAAAGATGTGAGAACAATTTCTTTCTTTTTTTTTTTTTTAAAGGTGATGGATGTGGACATACCGTATTAGGCCCTGAGAGTGGAACCCTTACATCCATAAACTACCCACAGACTTATCCCAATAGCACTGTTTGTGAATGGGAGATTCGTGTAAAGATAGGAGAAAGAATTCGCATCAAATTTGGTGATTTTGATATTGAAGATTCTGATTTTTGTCACTTTAATTACTTGAGGATTTATAACGGAATTGGTGTCAGCAGAACGGAAATAGGTAGGACGTTCTTAAAAATGTATTTTATACTATCTTATTTCTTCAAGTTTTAAAATTAAAGTAGTTTTTATATTCAACATTGAATAATTATGCTGCATAATATGATATGTAAAAAATTATTAAAAATGTGTGGAAATCTACACTTTGAATCTTCTTTTGGTAAGGGAAGGTTCTTGTTTATTTACTTTCCTAATAAGCCTATGTTGGTACCTTTGCATAAGATGCTATTGTACTACTTCTAAGAAGGAAGAGGTTAATTGTCTCATTTTTTATGTTTTCTTTGATCGTTTCATTTACAGTTGAAACATATAAGCATAATTCATGCTTAGGTGAATAAGAGCACGGATGGGTTTTAGATGAAGCTTCTTGAAGCTTGACACTGCTGTTAGCTTGCTGTGTGACCTTGGGCAGATTTTCTGATCTATTTTCTCACTTGCAAAATAGGAAACAAACTAGTATGTGTAAATGTGTTTAGAATAACACTTGACAGATGTTCAGTAAATAGCTGCTGTCATTGTTCCTTAAAAGCAGTGGTTCTCTAACTCGATGTTATTATAAAAACTTTCCTGGAAAATCTACTTTGCAGACAGGATTTAGAACCTTCACCATTTTCTGAAGCAATAAGGGGAAAATTTTGTAAGGCTGTCTTGGTGAACTAACATTATGAAATTAGAACTTTTGAATTCTCTGTGAGTTTATCTGGAAACATTTACTAGTTCCAGTATGTAAAGTATCTTTCAGAACTATAGTAGGAAACCAGAATCTTGTTAAGTACCATACTGTGGTTGTCATCTGACTTCTCCATCACTGCCCAAATTTTTCACCTCTCCTCTGCTTTTTGGCCTCTTATCCCCTAGAGGAAAAACTCTTGCCCCCATTTGCTTGTTGATGATTGGTAAACTCTGTTGCCTTTCAGTCAACTCTTAATTAATCTGGTAGCTTGGTCACTACCTACATAATTCTAGCTGTATGGTGCTGGGTGAATTCTCAGGAGCTCAAATTGCCTGAGAATGTAGAAATACTGTGACTTTAACATTAGAAGACAACTGGATAGTATGTACCTGCCAAGGATGCAGTCAGGACAGAGCACTACTTGGGCGGTCTCAACAGGTTATAAAGAAAGATGAGTCCTGACCTGGGCAAACCTCTAGCACTTTACAGGAAATAAAGGAGATGGAGAAATACATTATGCTGACCATAAGGACTAAATTTAAAACTGGAGAAATTTTGTAAAAGAAATGACCTAGTTTCTTCAATATATAATTGGCATTTAAAAAATGGAAAGCAGAGGAAAGAGAGGGAACTCTGTAAATTGATGTGTACCTTCCAAAAGTATGGGTGAGCCTTGTTTGAATCTTGATTCAATCTATCTCACAGAAGACATTTTTAAGATTATCAGAGGGACTGTGGCTCAGCGGTAGAGCACTTGCCTAGCATACATGAGGGCTCTGGGTTTATCCCCATCACTATTAAAAAAAGAAAAGAAAAGGAAGATTACCAGAAATTTTAAGAGGAATTGGGCATTTGGTTATAGTAAAAAATGATTATATTAGATGTGATTATGTTATCATTGATTTTTAAAATCTGAGTTTTTGGAAGCATTCTGAAGTTCAATTGAAATGTGTAGGATTTATTTTTAAATATTTCAGGAAAAAAGGTACAAGGATAAGCAAACAATACATTGCTAAAACTCTGTAATGGATACATGGGATTTGTTATGCTCTTGTAGTTTTGAAAATTTCCACGATACAATGGTTATTTAAAAAAAAAAAGGAAACTAAAAGTGACATACATTTGGACAGTAAATAGTAGCAGAGTGACATGGGAAAATTTGGGGTGCCAATTTTAAATTGCACACTGTATGTATTCTGCTCACAGCTTCAGGAGGTCCTTCTTCTGGTAACTGAACCTGACCAGACTTCACAGGTATCTTCCGCATCTTGTGGAGGTTAAATGAAATGATACATTGCAGTTTCTGGCCTGTAACAGGTGTTTAATAAATCTCAGCTGTTTCTTATTTCCATTGCGTGTGCTTCTTTTTCTGTCTTCTCATGAGTATGTACAAACCTGCCTAAAGATCACGTGGGTTAAATTATGATAGTTCCTGTTGGATTTTAGACTGTGCACCCACTAGCTGAAGAAGAGTGCTTTCCCTTTTTCCCATTTGTTTATATCATGTGGAGTCAGTGGACTCTTGGAAATGCATGGCTACTAACCCTTTACTATTATTATTTATTTTAATGCTCAAATTGTCCCAAATTTCCAGTGGCAGCCTCTGCAAGCTAACTCATGTCCTTTTATGATGTACTGATCATGCTTTAAGTACTTCCTTACATTTTGGCCCAGGACATTCTATATTTATCTTGTATTTTCCCTTCCCGGTCTTGCAGTTATCCATTTCCTTAAGGAACCCTATTCTTTTCTGTGTAGAATAATATTAGAAATCCATGTTTGGTTACTAGGTTTAGATCAGTAGAGATGTCGTGTCCTATTAACAGATGGATTTAGTAAATATATGTAAATACATCTATACATGTACATACATTATTATCTATATTTGTCTACTTATGTTATTAAAACAATAGTCTGTAACTTTAAACCTAACCCTTACTTTAATCCTTATCCAACATTATAGGATTCATTCTATTCTTTTCCTGTTTATATTTGTAACTCATTTCTCTGACAGTGAGATATCTAACTTCTATTATCTACAGTATATTTACTTACTTGTTCAGTGCTGTAACCAGAAAGTTCAGTATTGCTAACCCTTGGCTCCATGTGAAAGGAACTTGCTACTTAGAATTCACATTTCTGTAGTCTACACCTTGGGACATTATTGTCTCAATACTGTTTTCAAAGATTATATGGACTGATTCTATCCCACTATTTCTACACCTTCAGTATGGTTTTGTTATTCATTTGAAGTTTGGTTTGGTTCATTTGCTTCTATTCATATTCCATTATAGGTTTCTCCTTCCATTCTTGTCTTTTTCTTTTGTTGAGAATATGAAACAGTAACATGGTTTTCAAAGTTAAATCTGACTAAAAGTTATACTTAGATAAATTCATTCCATTTCTTCTATTCTTTCTACCTTACCTTTACCTACTTCTGTAGCTGACAAGTAGCATGTCTTTGTTTCATCTCTTCGCTGCTTTTTTTGTACAAGTGACACATTGTTCATTTCTCCTTTTTTTCTACAAAGCTAACATGCTGTCAATACTCTTTTGTTCTCTGCCCACCCACCTCCTTACATACTTAATATATCCTGGAAACCACTCCTTATTGCTTTGTAGAGAGCAGCCTCATAATTTTGTGGTGATGTAGAGCTCTGTAGTGTGGACATACCACAGTTACTCTTTTATAAATATATTGGTTGCTTCCAATGTTTTACAGTTACAGAGTTTGATTTTTGGAGGTGATTTCAGAGTAGAATCCTGACATGCAATTGCTGATCTAAAAGTAAAATGTATGTGAAGCTTTGTTAGATATTCCCCTCTATGCAGTTGTGCCATTTTGCATTTCCATCAGCAATGCATAAAAATGTCATTTTCCCATCAGCCTTCCCAACACTGTATTGTCATGCTTTTTTAATTTTGCCAGTTGATAGGTGAGAAATAGTATGCCAGTGTAGTTGTAATTTTCATTACCTTGAGGAAAATTGAACTTTTTTTCATATGTTGAAGGTGTCTGGGTGTGTGCATGTTCTTTTTTTTTTTTTTTTTTTTTGCCTATTTTCAATAGTTTCTTTTTAATTTTTGCATATCACAGGTTTTAGGAAATTATTATCTTTAATGTTTATTAGTCTATATGTGTTATGTGATGCAAATAATTTCTACTAGTTTTTCTATTATCTTTTGACTGTTTCTGGGGCTTTTGTGTTTGTAGGGGGTGTTTATCATGTAATATTCATCAATTTTGTTCTATTGCATCTGGATTCTAACTCATAATTAGAAAGCCTCTCCCTACATCCCAGTTAAAGATGAATTTGCCCATTTTTTTTTTTTAACACAACCATATTGTCTTACTTTCTTATGTTTAGATCCTTGGTACATTTGGGTTTTTTTTTTCCTTTGATATGAAATATAGATTTAATTGTATGTTTTCCATATACTTATCACTTGTCCCACCACCGTGCTTTTAAACTTTTATCTTTGACCTAGCAGTTACAAATACTGCCTTTATCATACACTTAGTTTCTATCTGGGTTTATTTCTGGACTTTCTTTTATTTCACTGGTTAATCTATTCACATTGCATACCAGAATCTCACAAGTTTTTAAAATGGTAACTGTTAATGTTTATTAACTGTACAGATGAATGGATTTCACTGTGATGTTTCATACATGTATATACCATGCTTTATGAGCACCTTCTCTAATACTTCCCCTTCTACTTCCAGATAATCTTTTTTTTTAAGTCTATATATATCAGAGAAGACATGCGACAACTAGTCTTTTTGTGTTTGGTTTGTTTTGCTTAACACAGTGCTCTCCAGTTCCATTCATTTTCCTGCAAATGATAGGATTTCATTCTTCTTTATGGCCAAATAATGATCCATTGTGTTTTTATGTGCTATATTTTCTTTATTCAGTTATGTGCTCACTGACACTTAGACCATCTTGTAGAAAGTGCTGCAGTAAACATGGGCATACAGGTATCTCTCTTGTATGCTGACTTCATTTCCTTTGGGTATATACCCACAGGTTGGATAGCTGGATCATGTGATTTAAAAAAAAAAATTGAGGAACCTTAGTATTATTTTCTATAGTGTACTAATTTATATCCCCACCAGATGTGTGTATAAGTTCCTTTTTCTCCATAGTTTCACCAGCATTTCTCATTTCTCTCTCTTTCTTGATGTACATGTGTGTACACACACACACACACAAACACTTATGATAGTTACTCTGATTGGAGTGAGTTGGCATCTCGTTGTTGTTTTGATGTTCATTTTCCTGATAGGTTGAAATATTGAGCATTTTTCATATATTTATTGGCCA